TTCTCCACAACTAGACTGAAGAACAAAACGACAGCAACTTGTCTGTTCCCCTTCCCACAATTCCCCAGCACTGTTCCCATCCCCCAATTACCCAATAAAAATCTTTAAATAAAAAAAAAGAATTTAATATAACAAATCACCGAACTAATTCAGATTTAAATGAGCCACAGTACTACATTGACATAAACAGCATTAAAATTTGGCATGGCTGGTTTTCTCCTTGAGCAAAAAAGCTATAACTTCAACATCCAGAAACAGACAAGCATGAGGGAAAATTTAGCAGAGGCTATTTACACCAGCTTGGATACTGTGTTGGCCCCCAGTGGGATGACTGGTGCAAAAGAATAAAAAGTCAAAGCTCCCCAGCCTCTGTGCTAGGGCTCAATGTGTATCATTAGCTTTCTGAGTCCCATAATGGCTTTTTGTGATTCTCCAAAAAAGGATGATATTCCCTACTAAATTTTGTACTCTCCTCTGCCAGAAGTGAGCATACAGTGACTACAAACCTCAATGGAGCAACAGATCAGACCTCCTTTGGTAAATGTCTTGTACAGTTCTCTGAACAGCTTGTACTTCTCCTCAACAAGCTCAGTGTATCTTCCCTTCTGCATGTCAACAGTTTCAGCCAATGTGCCAGTAAAGTCCACTATGATATCAGTGGTGGTCAAACCATCAAGGGCTTCATAACAGCCAAGCAGCCTGGGGACAAATATGCAGGGTTATCTTTGTAAAATTATTTTTCCAGGTCAAATACATCTTGTTCCCAAGAATTAGAACAATCCCTTCCCAGCCAGACTTTACCATCTGGCTTTTCTCTAGGTACAAAATGACAGATATTTTGAGCTTATAGTCAGAGATTTCTAGGCTTAGGCTATGTTTGTGAAGTGCAGTCCACACAGAAACTTCTTTCTACAAGCAAATACTAGACAAGGAGAAAATCTGAGGCCATATGCCATTATTTACAGATTAGCAGCTGGAAGGGGCACCTAGGAACAGGTAGGGGGTTAACAAAAATCAGAACAGATGATTGCTCTCTGATTTAGAATTTCTCAGGACCAGTCTCAGGACCAAAGAAATACCTTGAATCTGACTGAGAGCCTATCCAATTTAAACTTTGGGGCTGGGCTGGGAGAGAATGCCAAGGAAATATGTGGCCTTCCTTTTCTCGTGCACTAGTCAACTCTCCTCCTTACTTTGCATAAGCTTTTTCCAACAGAGCATTCCAAAATTCATTCATGGAGGTGGAGAAGGAGAAAACCAGATCTCCATTGATGGTGGGCAGCATGTCATCAATCACCACTTCGGTCCACTCTCCAAAATGCCAGAAACGGAAGTGGAATATCCCAGCATATTTATCTAGTTTTCGAGGGTCCCATTCCTGTTCCTTATGGTTGGGAATTGTCTGGAAATATAAGAACATTCATTCAACTCTTATTCACTAGACCATATCCAAATACTAAGATTACAGTTGACTTCTCGCAAATCCATGTGGCAACAGGAAGCACGCTAAATGAATCTGGTTTGGATCTAGGTTGGGAAGTCCTAGGTAGGGCATTTTTTTCCCCACAAATGTTGCTTTCCCAGTTCTGTTTTGCTGAGGATAGTATTACCATGTCTGCCCTGAATACACACAGGATGACTGGGAGTAGCCAGTTAGAGATTAAATTATTGCCCACAGATAATCTATAAACTCAATCACTAGGAACTGTCTATTCATAGTTGCATGCTTAACCACATAAACAAGGCATTTTAAAAATCAAAATCAATCAAAATACAAGGCCCCCTGTGGTTTCAGTTTTTAAAAGCCCATCTTAGATATTTCATGTAGATTCTATGGAATATAGATTTTATTAACAATTTGAGTAAAATTACATTTAGGAAATTCTCCTTTTTCTATACCTTTATACATTAATCTTCTAAAATTATTTTTCTGAAGAAATGTTCTAACTTTGTCCAAAATCAAGTCAACACTTCATCGCTTTGAACTCTAAAATGCCAAAGGAATTCTTGTACTCTTAATAATTTATTAGAGCCTCTTTAAGGACCTATTTCCATCTTTACCACATTTTTGGTTATTCATATCTGTCAAAGACTTCTTGGAACCTACTAGCTTTATACTAGCTTTATACCCAGTAGGTACAGAAAATACAAGTATGCAGAGCTACTGAGTCAAAGCACTGCAAGTGGCAAAAGATCAACTAATATGTGTGACAAAGCATATAGAGTAAAATGTTAATGGTAGAATCTGGGTGAGTATATGGGTGTTTGCTGTAAAATTCTTTCAACTTTCTGTATTTGTGAACATATTCATAATAATATGGAAAGAGTTCACCTAGTTAAGACTCTGTCTGACTTCAAGATTTAGACAATCTAGAAAGTTATGATCTGACTTTTTCTGAAATTATTAAAGAAGACAATAGGTTGGAAACTGAGTGAGGTCCCATAGGAGAGGGGAATACCTTTGTCCAGTGAGACTCCTGAACAGCCAAACAGGAGAATGCAGAGACCATTGGCTTGTGCCCCAGTCTCCCTTGGATCAGCTGGTGGTTGCTGATGTTGCCCACAATCAGATGGGGGTCATCACAGATGTCCTGTGGATACAACAATTGGTTCTAAGAGTCTGGGAAGTGTTTCCAAAAAGTCAATGTGAGCTGAGCTAGGCAGGACAGACTTCACAGAAGAGGTGGGGTCAAAAGATGCTAGGACTTCCACAGGTTAGGAGGCTGTGAGGAAAAACACAAAGCAGTACATCATCTAGACCAGGGGTCAGCAAACTTTTGAGATGGAAGAGCTGCCAGGGGTCAGCAAACTTTTGAGATGGAAGAGCTGCCAGGGGTCAGTCAGCAAACTGCAGCTCACAAACCGCAGGCTCTGAAGTAAAATTGAAAGTAAAAATGAAACTATCATAGTTTTATTTATAATATTTTAAAGGATATTATTCACACAATGGTGATTATGTAAAATATATTTATGGCTCTTGAATAATTGTTAAATTGTTGTGAGGGACAAGATTGGCTCTTCCAGGGGTTGGCAAACTTTTGAGATGGAATGTACCCAGAGAGCCTCATGTGGCTCACTAGCCACAGTTTTCTGATCCCTGACTAGACACAGGAAAAGGGAAATGAGGGGAAGTGACAGGAGAAATGGAAGGAGGGCATGTGATGAATCAGGATGAGATGTGCTGGTGGGGGCTCTCAGACATAGCTATCACTAAGATGTGGAAGAGTTTTCACCACAGCAATAAGCTTTCAAAGAGGATAACTAGGAATTAGCCCATTATATTCTGATCCTACTCGTTGGGATGAGATTTTCCTGAAGCACCTGTGTTTGGAAGGGTGATTAAATTTAAGAGACAAGGTCTGATGGAGATTAACATAAATGCTTCTCCTTCTCTAGGAAAATGATTTCTGATACCTTACACACAAAGGCCTTTCCTAACATAAAGCAAAGGCAACAGTGGTCTCCATGGCAACTATAGAATTCCATATATTTTGATGAATATAGATGGCAATAGCACTAATAGCAGGTAGTAATAGATAGCTCACAGGAGCATTTCAATAGACACTCTTTTCCCATGGCAGATGTTCTGAGGGAACCTGAATAGACTGGGGACCATATTTGTTTGGGGTGTATGTGTGTGTCTTCCCCAAATACGTTATTAGTGGTGCCACTCCCACTGTGAGTAGAAAAATGAGACCCAAGTAGTACAATTACAACAAAATGTGATGAGGACAACATGGAGATATTTTCAGAGTATAATCAGTGCCTAGAGGATAGATCCCCAAAGTTTCCCTGGTGAGTAAATTGAATAGCAGTGGTAACACTCAAGATGAAGCCTTAGGAATGAGTAGAGTTAGGCAGTTGGACAGGGGAGGGATATGGAGACATAATCAGTAGAGAGACAAGCATGGACAAAGGTATAACAGTATCTATTCACAATAGCCAAGACTTGTAAACAACTGAAATGTCCATCAGTAGATGACTGGATTAAGAAACTGTGGTACATTTATACAATGGAGTACTACTCCGCTATAAAGAATGAAATCGTACCATTTGTGATGATATGGATGGACCTAGAAACTATTATGTTAAGTGAAATAAGTCAGTCGGAGAAAGACAAATACCACATGATCTTACTTATATGTGGAATCTAAAAAACTGAATGAACGAGGAAATTAAACAGAAGTGGTCTCAGAGATATGCAGGAACAACTGATGGCTGCTAGTTGAGAGGGGGTGGGGATGAGGAAGAAGGGGAAGGGATTAGACAGCATAAAGAGTGAACTACAATATTGCCACAGGGATATGAAAGACAGTTCGAGGAATATAATTAATAATGTTGTAAATATTTTGTAGGGTGTCAGATGGTCACATGTCTTGCTAGGGAGACCTCATCATGGATGAGATAGAGGCTTGATCNATATCTGAATATATATATATATATATATATATATATATATATATATGGTCATGGGACATGGAGTATAGTGTGGGAATGGAGTCAAGGGAATTGTAATAGATATGTATAATATTGTGGAGGTAAGTGGGGCGGCAGGTTGGGGTTTGTCACTTCGAGGGGTAAAAAGTATAACTATTGCACTGTGTTGTACAGCTGAAACTAATTATTAAAAAATGTGTATTTCACAATAAAAATTAATTTTAAAAAAGGTATAGCAGTATACATGACACCATATAATTGAAGACATGATTGTGTGACTCAGAGAGTATCAGCACTTGCGGCGTTCAAAGGCAGGAAATACCAATGAAGTCTTGAGTAGATGGAGAAAGATTCCTGGATGAGGCCCTTGGCTGGTACCTTGACATTCTACTTACACAGCAGAAACAAATCTTAGTCTAAATGGAAAGAATATCTAGACATATAGCCATGTAAAATTATTACAAAGGGACCGCTATATTTCTCTGGTTCTAAAACCTCTTTTTTTTAATGGACATAATTCTTCCTGATGGAGAGAATGAAACATTCCATCTCTTCTTTAAAAGCCAAAATAACTCTGGAAAAGAATAAGCATTCTGGGCAGGGACAAATCCAAACTAAAGATTAATTGGGCATAGCTCTGCCAAATGAGAGGGTTAGGTGGGTTGTCAGCTTTGATTTTTTGTTGTTTTTTTAAATGCATATCTGGTGTTTCATCATTTCCTTTGTGTCTTAGGAGAAAATTTCTATTTTACTAAATTTTTCTGTGGGTTGGGAGCTGCCTGTTTGTACACTAATTGAACATAAAGCAGGTGTGTTGGATGAACTAAATCCTAATATATATGCTTTCTCTTATTGTTTCTTTGTGCTTTCTAAGATGAAACTAAACACAGCTTTTTCTTTCTGGGTCAGGTGTTATCATTTTATTTGGTACAAAATGTAAAGTTATACAATTATTTCTTGGACTTAGATGATGCATATAATAGTTTCCTAGCATGGAAAACCATACAGTGAACACTGGAGTGTGAAAAAGTGTCTTTTAAATTCTTAAGGTAAATTATGGGTTTGTTTTATGTAGAGTTATTAGTATTTGGGGTTACATTATAGTGTCTTGAATTTCTACAAGACTTTAATTTTAAAGCAGGGATCTAGGCTCAGCCAACACTTCTGGCATGTCAGCTCCTATTCAAGATATAAAGGGTCACATAAATGAGTAAAAAGGCATGTAAACAGAAGTCAAATTGAGGAACTGGTTAATTATTCACTTGTTGACTTAAACTGATGAATATATATATATATATATATATATATATATATATATATATATAGTGTGTGTGTGTGTGTGTGCGCGCGCGTGCGTGTGTGTGTGTGTGTTTGTGCATGTGTAAAGCTAAGTGTAATCATGGCAGAATATAAATTTGGACAAAAAACCGACCAAACTTTCCATTTCCCCTTATAAACTGGCTCATGTCCCAGTTTTTCTTCACCACTTTTCATACATGAAGGATGGCTATGTAATAGTGAGTTCTAAAATATGATCAGTTAACAGTTTATAGACTGTCAAAACTGCAAGGAATTTTAGAGACTATTTAGTCAACCTATGTATTTTACAAATGAGGAAAGTGACTCAGAGAAGGGCAGTAACTGGCCCCTCCAGTCATCCAGCTACTTAGTAGAACTGGGATTGAAATTTTAGGTTCTTCAAAACCACATACAGTTATAGAAAAAAACCTCAAGACCTAAGCTGGTCCATCCATTTGGCTTTAGGTTTATCAGTGCACACCACATAAAGGGTAATATTGTGCAGCTCTTTGGGGACAGAGATGTAGCTACATCTCTCAGTCATCCATCCCTGTGTTTTATGGCTCTTTGCTTAACACTTACCTAAAAGCTTGCTATCATTCTGGAAAACTTGCTTAAGCCATGCCCTTAGCTTTTGGTTCCAGGCTAAATATCACCAATAGGCTTTAACCTGCTCAATTTAAAACACTAAATATGAATTGATCTCTTTTGAATGTGAGCACCATGACGTGTAACATGAGAGCAAATCTTTATTAAGTCACATTTTCTACCTCTTTAAGGAAGTGAAAAACTTGAATCTAGAAAGCTAAGAATCTAGAAAGGGTAATGAGTCAATGCAAATCTAACAGACAAATGCACATTTTGGTGACAAATTTGAAAACAATGAAATGGCTAATTATTGACTTTCCCCCTAGTTTTCAACAACTGAGTGTCTTCCTTTTGGAGCTAAGTAAGTAAGGCTGGAGAGATTTTTCTGTAACTCAAAGCTGAGATGCAGAATGCAGATGGGACATTTCAGCCAAGCTCTGTTGGAGTGGTAGGGAGCGGAGTTAGGGGAGAGGTCACAGCTCATATAGTGGGTGGCTTGGAAGGGAAGGGAGATTGCTGAGTCCCTAATGGCTCTCAGCTGTGTTGGCACAGTTAACGTGATCCTTGAACTTGGCTGTTTGTAAAAGCAGAATAATTTTTACGGGGAAAAAACACACACAACTAGGAAGTTGAGCACCAAGAGTAAAGCAAAGAATGGTCCCCACATACCCCCATCCTTAAGCCAAAGCCTTCCAAAGAAAAGCAACTTCTGTAGGAAATATGTTCCCTTACATGAGCATTGAGGGACCCTCCCATTGTCCTCACCTCATCTTCCTTCCCAGATACCTCTGGGGAGGAGGGAGGCATATAATTACAAGCCTTGGAGCCCTGCATATGTCACTCTATGTGGCTTCCTTTGTATCTACCACATCTACATCTCTAGACATTTTTTTAACATAGGTAAAGTTTGATGACAATAAACACTGTGGTACAGGGTAAACCTGAAGAATCGGAGTAAAATGAAAGACTGCTTAGAAAACCAGGAACTAGAAGAGTAGAGGCACTTTCAAAAGAGCTATGTGCAATCCAACAGGACTGGGGAGATGGGGGCATGGATACCTACAAGTGAGGCTGGCCCTGCAATAGGTATATTATGACTAAGTCCAGGGCTCTTAAATATTCCCAGAATGTTCAGGACCTGAGGGATTTGTGAGCTAGTCCAAGTAGCCATTGTCTTATCTTCAGAATATTGAACCATCTTCAGACAAAGCATTGATAGGTGAACCTAGGCTCAGAGACCAATGTTTAACCAACCTCTCAAGGAGTC